ATTAGCTCTGCAGACCAACAACGAACGCCTCATCGCCTTAAGCGAAACCCAATCATGTGTACCACATAGAAGCTATATAAATCTTCTCTCCGCATTGACTATTAAAGGCATTTCTCGCGGATATTAACGACGAGAAGGAAGAAGTTATAATACTAAGACGGAAAGTTCGATCCGTCATATGAGAGTAGCAAAAATCGATCAGTCCTCATTGCAGGAAGGAAATATACCTTTTTGTTTTAACTCGGGGCTGAATATCTACAGCTCGCGCATGCATTCACATGACGACTGGCAATCGGTAACAGAGACGTTTATTTCATCAAGGGCATGGACACTGGTATGGGGACGTGTGTCCTATTTGCCGCCATTAGCCAATAATTGGCTCTCTAACTCGAACCACTTAATGAGCCAAATGCTGGAGGAAATTTAGTAAAAAACACTATATATTGACCAATATTTCTGCAGCAGAAAGGAACTGGGATTTACGTGAAAGTTCTTCATAGGAGTCGGAATTATGACAGACATTCTTATTGGAGGCAACACAATGTCTCCAGGAATGAATGTTTATTTTTCTGGTATTTAGATGCGCCGTGAACTGAATAACTACGCGATTGATCAATTATAGGTTAGGAGATAGTAGTAATCTCGTGAGAGACTGATAACTGATCGAACAAGGCGCTCGATCCAACAGAATTATTAACTAGATGAAATAATTACTTCCCATTACTGATTCGAACTTTGCCTATTATGGGTGCTTTACCAGTGAAGTTCTCGAGTAAAAATCCAATCGGAGGAATGCAAATACAAATTTTAATGACGAGGTAAGGGGTGGAAAGGTGTAACGATACCATGGATAACGGGACTGGCCAAACCGTTTCGGCTATCGGCGCTTCGATTAAAAAAACACTGCCTCCACCTAAAAGCAGTCTACCAAAAATCTTTGTTATGCCGAAGTGAGAAGTGATGCTTCGTCTTCTTTTATTTCTTCCGCCATAGACGCCTCATTATCGAAATTCGCGCCCCCCTGTTCGTCGAACTGGGCGACAACCATCTCCACCTAGAGCCGTGTGATGATAGCGTCGCCGTCGTTACCTTGCCGATTCTGAAGGCCGTATTCCGATTCGTCACAACGTCCTTCGATATAGCTCCTTTCGTAAAGTAGAAGACGCGATCACTGGAATGGCAATTGCATGAATCTGAGATTTCGGCTTCACACAAGAGACCATCGTCAGAGAAAATAAGCAAGCAGCAAGCGTAGGCATATAAAACACAGCAAAGGAAGACGGGAATGGCCATTTATAGCTCGTTAGCCGTCATCAATCAGTCATAACCAATCTCAAGGGTCGGAACCCCGTAATTCGAGCCCGGGACTTTTGATCATTGAGGTTACCATTGCACAACGGGCTCGTTGCTTTGTCGGTTGAGATCGAGAATATGATGGATATATGGGCATCGCCGATCTCATAGTGGAACAATTGAGTCCCGTTTCGCCCCGGAACTCACATTAGAGCCCACGCAGGAAGTCGCATGTAATTTATGAAGCGTCTAACAATAATATATACGAATAAAAGTAACGCAAAATCGAAGAACTGTTTATTGGTTTATAAGACACTACTAACTAGACAAGGTGCAGCTGGAGGGTATCACCGTGCAAGGGTTGAAACTGTTCTGTTCTTGCAGAAGCGTAAAAATATAATCACAAC